ATTTTAAAATTCTAATTCCAATATTTTCTCTGTGAGTGAATGCTTTATTAATTTGGGTTAGAGGTTTACATATAAATAGACTCAACCTATAGCTCTGAATGTAAAAAAAGAATTATTATTTAATTTTATTCATTATCATGATTACTTTCCAATTTGTTACAGGGCACACACATTTACCAGAGAGAGATGGAAATTGAGAAGGTAAGCTATCAGGTCCAGGACTCAAACCGTGGCCATTCATGTGGGAGTCTAGTGCCTTAACCACCACATCACCAGCTGGTCCTAGGTTCCAGGTTTCAACTTTTTGTGTGTGGTAGAGGTTTTTTTGCCTTAGGGCATGTACGCTCACGAGAGAGAGAGAGAGAGAGAGAGAGAGAGGGGGAGACAGACAGTGAGAAGGAAAGTGAGAAATCACCCCCCCAGGGAGGATGGCCATGTTTTAATCCCTTCTTCTCCATCCTCCTCCCGGGATCTTGGGCACACACACACATGTACCTGGCATGATTTTCAAGCCATGGGTCTAGGACTTGAACCATGGTTGGTTATGTGGGAGTCCAGTGATGTAATCACCATGCTATCTGCTGGCCCTAGCTTTGAATCTTTTAAAAGAAAAATTTCAAATAAACAGAATAATATAAGTGATATCTATCCACTGCTCAGTCATAAAAAATTAACATTTTGTCCTGTTAGCTAGAATTCTTTAAACACTGTTATTTTAGAAATAGAAGAAAGGGGTAGGCCCCTTTGTACATTTTTCTATTCCGTGAAAGAGGGAGAGAGAGAGAGAGAGAGAAGAGAGAGGTGGAGAGAGTGAGACAGAGACAACCACTAGCAGGGTCTTCACTCTGCGATCCACCTGAACCTGCCAGCCGGAATCACGGGCGCACAGAGCATGCCCGGGAGCTGCAGACCAGGCCTGTCTGTGGCCTCAGCGCCGTGTTGTTGCTGCTGCGCCGTGACAGCCGGCCCGCTTTGTGCCTTTACTCACCCCCTGCATTAAATTAGTGTGCATCCTTCCCTCCATATTTGTGATCATCAGAATAATGCCAATTCCACCCCCCTCCCCCCCCACACACAAGATGCCAAGGCCTATCCCAGAACCTGAGAGCGTGTTAACTGCTGTGGCAGTAGGGGATGCGGGTGGCAGGTGCGACTCAAGAACCTCGATGTAGGAAGTGGCTGGACTTCCAGGAGGGGCCAGTCTACTCACGTGACCCGTAAAGTCAGACACCTCTTTGGTGTGGCCAGAGTGAGAGCCGTGAAGATGCTGCCGTCAAGATGGATGAAGGGGGCCAGGGCCAAGGACGCAGACAGAAGCCGGAGGAGGCAGGGCAATGGAGCCTTCCCCAGTGTCACCAGAAGGAAATCGGTCCTGCCAAGACCATGTCAGGACCCATTCGAACTCTGACCCACAGAACTGAAAGATAATAGATTTGTATTGATTTAAGGCATGCAATCTGTGGTAATTTCTGATGGCAGCAATAGAAAATTAACATGTCTTCCACACCGAAACTGTGTTGTAATTCATAATGTATCGATATAAGGTTACTTTCGATGGTTTTAAAATGACTTAAATTTAGTATTTTTAGTAGAAATGTATTGGTTATATTAATAAATCTTGTTCAGTGCTTGTAAATAAAAATATGCTATTCTATATACACCTGACTACTACTGCAATGTAGATCAGTGTGATTATCCCAAGGCAAGGGAAGTAGCTGAGGAAAACCTGAGTTCAGATGTGACGCAGGTGGTAAAATTGAAGTTTTGCATAACTTTTCTTTTGAGAGACTTTTGTTACAGTTTGTGTGTGCTAGCTAGAGAGACAGACATAAAGTGAGAAATCACCCCCCAGGGGGTATAGCCACACTGCAATCCCTTCTCCTCCATCCTCCTCTCTGAATTTTTGGCATGCATGCACATGTGCCCAGCGTGTTTTAAGTCACCAGATCTGGGACACGAGTTTTTGGCATGCATGCATATGTGCCCAGCGTGTCACCAGCTCCGGGACACGAGCCGTGATCGACTATGTGGGAGTCCAGCAACATAACCATTACGCTATCCGCTGGTCCCAATCTTTTTTATTTTTTTTTTTAAACAGTTTTTGCCATACGGTGTGAGCATTGACCAGAGAAACAGGGAAAGTGAGGAATTGCCCCTGGGAGGGCGGGAAGACGTCCACACCACAATTTTCTTCTCCATTCTCCTGAGATTTGGAGCGTGCATGCACACATGCCTGGCATGATTTTCAAGCAGCCAGCCTGATGCACAAACCACGGCTGGCCATATGGGAATCCAACACCACAACTACTATGCCACCCACTGGCCCCCATAACCAGTAACTTTTAAAACGTTTCTTTTTTATTTTTTGGGTTTTTGCCATAGGGCACAAGTGCTCACCCAAGAAGGCCAGAGAGACCGAACGATAAATTGCACCCTAGAGTAGATGGCCACTCCTGCAATCCCATCTCCCCCATTTTCCTCTTGGGATTTTGCGGACACGCATGATTTTCGTCTTTGGCCTGGGACCTGAACTGTAGTCAGCCATGTGGGACACCAGTACTTTAACCACCATGCCCCCTGCTAGCCACAAAGTTTATTGTGAGAGAGGCAGACACACACAGAATAGAGCTCACAGGGTCTTGCCACACCTCCTCCAGCCAGCCAGCCAGGGCCACCTCCTGGAACCCGGCGCAGGCCTTGCCGTGTGGCTCAGCTAGCAGGCCCAGGCACCCTACCACCTGCACCCTGTGGCTGAGCCTAACAGCTCATGAAAAATCCATGATAGGTTATTAAATCGCGACCTTAGTTCGAGATAAGAACTTTAAGACCGTAAGAATGCGTGTTTCCTCCAGCCGTTAAACGCACAGGAAATCGATCTATTTTAAAAGGAGCAAAGGTGAAGAGCCCTGGCCTGGCGGGCTGGGGGGGTCTGGGTCTGGGGCGGCGGCCGCGCAGGGTCGCCCCTCCTGCCTGCGTCGCGGCCGCCCGGGCGCCACGGGGGTCGCCGAAGCAAGCTCCTTCTCGGCGCTACGCCCTCCCCGGCTTTGAACCCTCCCGGCTTCCGCCTTCCGGGTGGTCACGTGGGGCCGCCGCGTCACGTGACCAGCTCTCTGTCATTCTGCAGCGGCCGGTCCGG